CGCTGACGCGCGGGCACCTCAGTGCGAATCGGTGGCTCGGGCGGGCGCGGTATCATGGCGACGCCGACAACGGCTAGCACGATGATGATATAAGCTGGTGACAACGATGGCGATGACGACGGCAAGGCAAATGACTGCGCCGATGCTGATCACGCCCATGACGATGATGGTGCCCACGTGTCGGTGATGAAAGTTTTGGAAGAATTTCGACATGCGCGCGCGGCCGACAGGCGCGAGTGACTCGCATGGTGCTATTTAATAAGGGTCGTGCCCCCTCCAGCGCGCACGTGCGCGCGCTCGAATGATTCCGACATGCGCGCGCGAGGGGCCCAGCTGGCCGAATCTGATGAACATCCGGGGGAGCCTATAGTTATCTCCAGATTTCGCAGGAACGCGCGCGCAGACTTGTTTTGACCAGCCATGTTGCAAAATCGAATGCTTTTCCGAACCATCCTGTGGTGTTCGGTCCTCGTTTTGAAGGGACAGCGCCCCGCGCTCCTTCCTCCTTCCTTCCTCCTTCTGGCCTCCGCATGTCCATATCGGCACACCCCTCGCACGGTTCGTGGCCTCATGGGAGCTCCAGCGAATCCAAAAAAGCCAACGCTCGAGTGAGCCCACTGCGCCCATCTTGGCACACCCATCGCAAGCTTCGTGGTCCCACATGGGGCTCCACCGAAGGCCCTGAATGCCAGCGCCCGCGTGCGCCCACCGCACCCGTCTTGCACACACGCACACCTCATACGTTCGTTGCCCCACAAGGAGCTCCACCGAATGCCAACATGCCAACGCTTGCATGCGCCCACCGCGCTCATTTTGGCACACTTCACTCGCTTCGTGGCGCCATAGGGAGCTCAGGCCCAAATGCCAGCGCTCGCATGCGCTCTACCGCGCTAATTTTGGCACACCCCCTACACGTTTAATGGCGCCATGGGGAGCTCCACCGAAGGCCAATACCAACGCTCGCATGCGCCCACCGCTCCCAGTTTGGCGCACCCCACATACGGTTCGTGGCCCCATGGGGAGCTCCAACGAAGGCCCAGATGCCAGCCCCTCATACGCTTCGTGGCCCCGTAGGGAGCTCCACCGAAGGCCTAAATGCCAGTGGACGCATGCGCCCACCACGCCTATGTTGGGACACCCCTCACACACTTCGTGACCCACAAGGAGCTAAACCGAAGCCCGAGATGCATGCCAGCGTTCGCACGCGCCCACCGCACCCACTTTGGCACACCCCTTACACGTTTCGCGGCCTCATCAGGATGCCCACCGGAGGCCCAAATGCCAGCGCTCGCATGGGCCCACCGCGGCCATTCTGGCACACACCTCGCACGCTTCGTGGCCCCATGGGGGCTCCACCGAAGGCCAACATGTCAGCGCTCGCGTGCGCCCACCGCACCCATTTTGGCACACTCCTCACACGCTTCGTGGCCACATAGGGAGCCCCCGCGAAGAGCCAAATGCAAGCGTCCGCGTGTGCCCACCCCACACATCTCGGGACACCCTTCGCACCGTTCGTGGCCCCACAGGGAGCCCCACCGAAAGCACACATGCCGACGCCCGCATGCGCCCACCGCGACCATTGTGGCCCACCCCTCGCACGTGGACCCCATAGGGAGCCCCGCCGAAAGGCCAACATGCCAACGCCCGCATGCGCCCACCGCACCCATTTCGGCGCATGCGCCCACCGTTCCCGTTTTGGTACACCCCTCATATGATTCATGGCCCCCTAGGGAGATCCACCGAAGGCTTACATGCAAACGTTCGCATGCGCCCACAGCACCCATTTTGGCACACCCCTCGCACGCTTCGTGGACCCATAAGGAGCTCCACCGAAGGCCCAAATGCGAGCGCTCGAATGCGCCCACCGCGCCCATTTTGATACACCCTCCACGCGCTTCGTGGCCCCACAGGGAGTTCCACCGAACGCCCAAATGCGAGCGCTCGCATGCGCCCACAACGCCCAGTTTGGCACACCCCTTACACGCTTCGTGGCCCCATTGGAAGCTCCAGCGACGGCCCAACTACCAATGCCCGCATGCGCCCACCGCACCCCTTTTGGCACACTCCTCACACACTTCGTGGCCCTACAGGGAGCTAAACCGAAGGCCGAGATGCATGCAAGCGCTCGCATGCGCCCACCGCGCTAATTTTGGCACACCCCTCACACGTTTCGTGGCCCCCTAGGCTGCTCCACCGAAGGCCCAATTCCAGCGATCGCATGCGACCGCCGCGCCCAGTTTGGCGCACCGCTCAGACGTCCGTGGCCCCATAGGGAGCTCCACCGGATGCGGTGCATACAGCGACGGTGCCCACAACTGCATATGGTTGGGTCCCTCGCCAAACTACTTCTATATCTTTCGGGACACTTGATTTTGGATGTCGAAAGATAGCGGCATGCGCGCGCGACGGCGTGCGCGCGCACTCCGTCCCATGTTCGGAAACGGATTCTTCAAACTTGCGGATTTGTGATAAGCGTGTGCGAACATAATTTGTTCAATTCATGAAGGAAGGGTAGAAGGTCGATGCCCGGCTTGGCTGGGACCGTACGAATTCAAATTGAGAATGACTGATGGGGCAAATTCGCATGTACATTACACATCCCCATGGGGAGAATAATCCCGGCCTCAGGGGGTGGTAGATCCCACTTGCTTATATTAAAAACAAATAAAACGACACACTGGAATATGTGGTGCACATCATTTCTGTTCGCAATGAGTTGTCATTTCCACTGCTCGCGCAATCGTCCAACCAGCCCACCCGCAACTTGGTTTGCATAAGTACATGCGGCGGCGATTGCGATGAGTGATTGGTGTTCGCTGGTGCATCTCCGCGGCCGCGGTGGCGCTGACCGCTGGGCACTTCCCAGCGGGCACTTCAGTGCGAGTCGGCGTCGTGGGAAGGCGCGGTATCCATGCAACGCCGGCGACAGTAAGCACGAGGATGATAAAAGCGATGCTGGTGACGATGGTGACAATGACGACGGCAAGGCCAGTGACGGCTCTGATGCTGATCGCGCCGACGACGATGACGGCGTCCTCGCGTCGGTGATGCAAGTTTTTCTTTATAAAAAGGGGTTCGACATGCGCGCGCGGCCGACGCGCGAGAGTTACCCGCATGGTATTATTTGACACGAGTCGTGCCCCCCACCAGTGTGGCGCGAGAGGCCCGCATGTCAGAATTTAGTGAACATGTTGAACAACCAAGGTAGTCCTTAGAATTCGCAAGACCGTGAGCGCAGGCTTGTTTGAACACTGGCGTTGCAAAACCATGTCGGGACACTCGATTTTGAAACCCCGACGAATTCGAAGGCTTTTGGAAGATTTCGGCGTGCGCGCGCGACGACACGCGTATGTGCACTTCGTCCTTTGTTTGTACAAGGGACTATTGCGACAGCACGCCGCAGGGGCGTTCGACCGATTTCGACATGCGCGCGCGAGAGGCCCGTGTGGTAGCACGGTATGAACATTTGGGAGAACCTTTGGTTTTTCCAGGAAAAGTCGCAAGAACGCGGGCGCACGTTTGTTTTGAACATTAGTGTTTCGAATCCGTGTTTTAAACATGTTTTCTAAGTTTTCGGGGCACTCGATTTTGAAATCCTTGCGAAACCAACTATGGTACGAATTCAAATTCGGGTGGACGATGGGGCAGAATCGTATGTGAATTACGATAGAAATAAGGGGGTTGTTGATTCCAGGGGGACCCTGTGTCGGCGTGTGTGATGGGCTTGTCCGTTCCCGTCGTTCGTTCGTCGTCGTCTCCGTCATCTCCTGTCCCTGCGCCCATCCTTTCCCTGGGCCAGTCGTCTCCTGTCCCTGCGCTCCCCCTTTCCCTGGGCCCGTCTCCCCTCCTCCCCTTTCCCCCTCTTCCATGGGCCCGTCGCCGCTCCCTCCCCGCTTTTCCAGCGCCTCCCCCTCAAGTGCAACGTTGTCATTGAGTCGAAGAGAAGCCCCTTTCCTTTGATCCCTTCCCTGCCGGGTGGGGGGTCCCGGGAGGGGTCCCAAGGGAGTTCCTAGGGGGGTCCAGGGGGGTATCCGGCGTCAGATACGACTCCCCCCTTGGGGGTCCTGGGGCCCACACAAATCCTCAGACGGGCCAAGAGCCGAGGCATTCTACCACGCCCTCTCCTCCCTCCCCCCTCCCCCCTCCATCTTCAGCTCTCCTCTCTCCTCCGCCCCCCTCCAGAACCGAACCGGCCTCCTGGACGCTCGGCCACGGGACACCCCAGGAGCCAGAATTCCGAGGTCTCTGTTAGATACTCATTCTGGGGACCTTCCTGGAGCCACTCGCTCCACTCGTGCGTCGAAGCTGCGTCGAACCTGAGTCGAATCTGAGTCGAATCTGTGTCGAATCTGTGTCGAACCTGAGTCGAACTTGAGTCGAACCTGAGTCGAACAGATCCATTAGGTGGGCCCCAGGAAGGTCTCCAAAACGAGCATCGAATCTCTGGGACCCTCCAGGACCCAGCCCCGAGGACCTACTCCCAGAACCCAGAACCAGGAACCAGCCCCCCAAAAAGTCCAGGACTCCCAGGCCCCAGGCCCTGGTCGCCTCGTCCTGCTCCTATCCATTTCCCCCCCCTCTCCTCCTCCTCCTCCTCTCCTCCTCCTCCTCCTCCTCCTCCTCCTCCTGTTCCCCTCCTCCTCCTCCTCCTCCTCCTCCTCCTCCTCCTCCTCCTCCTCCTCCTCCTCCTCCTCCTCTTCCCCCCTCCTGCTCCCTGACGTCCTCCGCCTCCTGCTCTTTAACGTCCTTATCCTGCTCGTCGCCTCCGTCTGCAGGGTCGGCGGCACCGGCCGGAAGGCCTTCGCAATAAGGGGGTCGTTAATTCCAGGGGGGCGGGGGGGGGGTAGATCCGATTGTTCTTTTAAAACAAAGCATCTAAGCAGCGACGGCGACCACAAGGCGGCGGACCGACGGGCAGGCCCAGACGACGGGCGGCGACGAGTCGGCGACGGGGCGGCGACGGCGACCACACAGCCGCCAGACCGACGCGTCCAGTTCCTTCGGCCCTAAGTGCAAGGACTGTTTGTAGACTGGGGAGCAGCAAAAACTGGCAACGAGCGCACACCCTAGAAGGCTTCCCGGACTGCGCTCGGCTTCGTAGCGAACGATCGCCTCAGTCGAACGTCGCTGAGGCTGGGGGGGGGGGCCTGCCCGGCCGCAGGAAAACTACGTACAGCAGCGTAGGCGACAGGCAGACACTCCCGCAAATCTTGACTGTGCGGGCCAGATTGACAACGGGGAGAGGGGGTTGGTGAACTTTTGCCGGATTGGAGGTGGCTCAGTTCGAGGCCATATGATCTTAATCCTGTCCTGCGCCCATGGAGACCCTAATCAAGTTATGGTGTTGTGCGACTTTAAACTTCGGCTCCCGCGACGAACAATAATTGAACATCGCCGACGGGAGTCGCGGCTGAGCGCCGTGCACCTTTCGACCGCTACGACAATCCTTTGCCGTCGCCGTGCACCTTTCGCCGTGCAAAGCCGAGTCCGGACAACAGAGATCGACCACTAGGTCCTCCCGACGCGACCTGCCTGGAGAAATAACAAAACACAATCGGTCAACGAACCTGGAAACGACTTCAGACATGTGAAACATGGCAAGATATTTCAGACACCTGACCAAACGACGGGCAATTGCAATGCTGAGTGTATGGATCGTGATGTACCGTGCCAAAAGGCTGTGCTGCGTTGTGCCTTGCAGAATTGAGATGTGTCATGCCGAGGTGAACTGCGTTTTGCTCTATACCAAGTCGTCCTTAGCATCCGAACCCTGACCGAACAGATCTGGATCTTAAGCTCGAGCTGCCTGAGCGCATAACTCGCCCAGAGCTGGGTGCAGTCGAAACGTGCGGGGCGCGCAACCAGTTCGAGCTCAGGATTCGATGATGTTCCGAAGCGGGACCAGTCAAGAAGGGGCGGATCCGAACCGAGACGAAATGCATCGACAGTGGACGGAACGAAACGCAACACACCGAGACGCGACGAACTGAGAAAAGGCGAACCGAAAAAATACTAACCGAAACGACGGCCGAACCGACTAAACGAATCGGACCACAACAAACCGAGACTGGAACAAGCCGATAAGCTCATCGTTCTGAAACCGTATGGCACCTACTCCCAGGACCAAGAACCCCTGTCAAACTACCAAAGATGTGCGCTCCTAAGCCGCGATCCTGGTGCAAACTGCGACTGATTAATGTTTTGCTGACCTGCGCTGCGTCATGCTGTGTTGACTTGTTCCCTGTTCCGTCGCGTTGTGGTTTCCGAATCCTGGCCGAACTGATCTGGATCTTAAGCTCGAGCTGTCTGAGCGCAAAACTTGCCCAGAGCAATGTACAATCGAAACGTGCGGGGCGCGCAACCAGTTCGAGCACACGATTCGATTCAGTTCCGAAGCGGGACCAACCAAGAAGGGACGAATCTAAGCCGAGGCGGAACGCACCGACAGTGGACGGATAAGACGATCCTCTCTGGATAGCCTGGACACGTGAAAACCTGTGCCACATGAACGGGCGCATGAGGCAATATACCCTCTCCGCGTCGTATTTTTACGCGCGAAGAGTCCGACGACCTCATGTTAGATATCTCCCTGGGTAGCCTGGACACGTGGAGACATGCGTTTCGCTTGAGGCCTCCTCAACGGATTCTGCAGAACAAGCGCTTCACTCGAGGCATCCTCAAGCTCTGTAAACCAAACGTTTCGCCTGAGACATCCTCACCACATCAGGAAACATAAGCGTTTCGCTCGAAACATCCTCAACAAACTAACTTGCCTGGCCTCCTCGACCACGTTTGTGATCCAGGAAAGAATCCGCCTGCCCACCTCAGTAGAGGCACCGGGGCAGGTTTACCGACTACAACGAACCCTGGGCCCGCGCCCCTTCCAAGAAAATCACATGGTGGGCGAAAGGAACCTTTGTACACACAATAGGCTTCAGCTCCACAACGAAGGAGGGCACCTCGCTCCAGAACTCCCCGCACGAATGAAGCCCTCGCTCGAGACATCCTTAGATTTTGCTCCCGGACGAGAGGAACCCATGTACAAAGACATGGTTTTGGCGCATGGGCGAACAAATTTATGCAAGCCATGGTCGACCCACGAACCCAGAAAGGACATCCTAAATATGAAACAGGGCAACGTTTTCAAGACACCAAACCAAACGACGGGCAATTGCAATGCTGAGTGTATCGATCGTGATGTACCGTGCCGGAGGCTGGGCTGTGCTGTGCCGTGCTGAGATGTGCCATGCCGCGAGGCCGTTCCGACATACCCTCGCCTCGTTCACGTTCGCTTGCGTGGTACCGCGTTTTGCGACGTCAGCGCTCGGCAGCAGGCGAGGGACATACTCAATTCGCATCACGGCTCTCTTGCCCCTGCGATGGGAGGCGATGGATCGGCTACCTCGCAAAAGAGAGTCTCAGCCCAGAAGGAGCCCAAATGGTCCTGTGTTGCGACGAGGCAATGTGGCTTCTCAGTGAGTTATCACAGCAATACTCACTGCTATCGTTGCGGGCGCGACAAGCGGTGCATAGCAGGGACCGGCCGTCCCGGCATTCCTATAGGCGTACAACGAACTTTTCATATAACCCCAAACATTTTCTCAGAACAACAACAATGTTCTTAGAACATAAGCCCGATGTGTTAAAGCAAGACAATATCAACCAGACATGTTCTAAGACAATTTCGTGGAAACCTTAAAAGGTTCTTAGAACATTGCTTGGTAGCCTGTAGGCTTCCCAAGACGCTTCGCCACTGCTTGATGCTCTGGTCCCAGCTGGGAACTCTGGATTGAATCAGGCCGCGCAACGTCACCCGAGGCGGGCTGTCACCGACGCCCAGGGCAGCGCCACCACGGCCCCGCGCGCAACTGTTGGCGGCAAGGAAGGCGTGCGGCGCGCGAGGCGAGAGCCCAGCTCAGATCGCCTCCGTGCCAAGCGGATCGATGAGGTCGCCTCCGTGCCTCAGGGCACCTGGAGAGCCGGGCCCGTGCTGGTCTTGGCACGTGGCCTGGAGCGAGGAAGAGTCCATCCCGGGCTCCTGGTCGCGCAGGTCAGGGTTCTGGTGTGGAGCATGGCCCAGCTCCCCTCCGTCAAGCTTCGCGTCCTCTCCGAACGTGGACAGCCAAGCGCTCTTCCACGTCTCGCCCCCGTCCGGGACGTCGGGATTCACACCGACTCTGCGGTATAGCTCCGAGAGCCAGTTGAACAGGCTGTGTTGACCCTGAGGGCCCTGAAGAAAGGCCAACTGTTCTTTTGTGAGCCAAGCGTAGAACCCTACGTCTTCCGCGAGCATGAAGACCTCCGTGCCGACTGTCACCGAGGGCCTCATCTCGTGCTTCGTGGTCCTAGTCCTCCTCGGCCTGAACGTAGAAGCTCTGAAGGTCTGGGCAACGCTGCCGGATGAGCCGTCGCTGCGCGAGGAATCTTTCCAGGTCACGGGCGCCATCGCCGACAGCCTCGCACTCCCGAGGGCCCGGATGTCCTGCTCGGACTCCTGCCACTCCGCCAGCACGACCGTGCGGATGTACCTCGTCGGCACTCCGAACTTCCGGGAGTTGTCCTGCTCGCTGCGCCTCTCCACCCCGACCACTGTGATGCCGCTGGCAAGCGCTTTGAGCTTTCCCCTCAGCAACCGCTCCAGGCATTTGTCCGGGTGCTCCCCCACCTCCTGCCTGCCCCCAGGCAACCTGCAGTTCGCCTCCTGATCTCCGTTCGCCTTTCTGTCGAGCCTCATGCGGACGAACACCCGCCGTCGTGGCGATGCATCTCCAGCACCACCAACGGCACACAACGCACGACATCCCTCTTGCCAGTCACGAGCAGCGTGGTCCTACCTTCCCGCACCTCCGAGGCCAACCTCTGGATGTTGTCCTGGCTTACTCCGTGGAGCCAGCTGGAGAGGGGAGACTCAGACGGTGCCATCAACACGTCGATCGCCCCCTGCCCAATGACGGCCGTCACGCTCTTCGGCATCGCGGCAATGACCTCGTCCGGCTTGAAGGGCAAGACGAGGTCGTTTGGCCACTCGCAAGACATGGATGAGGTGGAGTTCCGCAGGAAATGGTGGAAGCTGCGGGCGTACGCGCACACCAACTGCCCGATCAGACCGATCCTCGTCAGGATCGGAACCAGAGTAGCGGCTCTCAGCAGCAGCACCTCGCAACCCGTGAGGGTCTCGGCGCAGCCCATGTGCCGCCAATGGCACCACAACGCCGCCTCGGAGAGCCAGGTGCCGGCATGTGCCTCCGTCGACGGCCCCGCAGGGAATCTGTCGTCCAGCTCGTAGGACAGGGCGCCGTTCACGACGAAGTGCATGCCCTCCGCCTCGTCCCCGAAGACGAACAGGCTGTCTCCTTTCACCAGTGCTGAGAAGCGCACGCATGTCATGCAAATCTGCTTCCACATCGCGCTGTCGTTATTATAGAAGAAGTTGAGCATCGGGTGCTCGAGGAGGTGTGGGTTGCAGAGCTCCAGCTGAAGAGTTTGGCGCAGGGATATGGAGAGCAGGTCGAGGACTTCCAGGTCCTTGACCACATCTGGGCGCCGCTGCATCAACTTCGTCTTCACCTGCTTGCACACCTGCATTCTGGTATCTGCGTGAATGTGCGACCTCTGCAGGAACTTGGTCACCCTCTCCATCTCCTTGCTGTACCGCTGCATGTCGATCTTCAGCTGCGCCGCGTTTGCCGAGATCGCCGAGATCAGAGTGGAGAATATCATGAGGCCACCCATGAGACAACAAATGTTGAACACCCTCTCTGAGCTGTTCAAAGGGACGACCTGCATGGACCCAGGCGTCATCTGGGTCAAGGCCCAGTGAAACGCTGTGGTCCGCAACCGCACTTTGCCGCGCCTGGTGTGTGTGTGTGTGTGTGTGTGTGTGTCTGTGTGTGTGTGTGTGTGTGTCGCGCCATCTTTGGTTCTGCATCTTGCGAAACCGTCTCTAAGTCTACCCCGCACAATTGTGCACATGGTGGGCGGACAAAAGAATACCACTACTGCTACTGCACGGACCTCTTCTGGGGTGCGCCCTGACTGGCGACGAGGGAAGGGCAGCGGCTTCGGCTTTTCATTTTGAAGCGCACAATTTTCCCCAACCATCCTGTGGTGTTGGGTCCTCGTTTTGAAGAGACAGTCCCCGCGTTTCCTCCCTCCTTCCTCCCCCTCTTCCCTCCTCCCTGCTTTCACCCACCTAGTACAGCGCTTCGTGGCCCCAAAGGGAGCTTTGCCGAAGCCCCCAGTGGGACCGTCCAGGACGCATGAATTTAGCATTTTCACCCACCCAGTACGGCGCTTCGTGGCCCCATAGGGAGCTCCACCGAAGCCCCCAATGCGACCGCCTGGGACGCAGGAATTTTTGCATGTTCACCCACCCAGTACAACGTTTCGTGGCCCCATAGGGAGTTCCACCGAAGCCCCCAGTGGGACCGTCCGGGACGCATGAACTTGCCATTTTCATCCACCCAGAACAGCGTTTCGTGGCCCCATAGGAACCGCCACCGGATTCCCTTGTGGGACCGTCCGGGACGCATGAATTTTTCATTTTCACCCACCCAATACAACGCTTCGTGGCTCCATAGGGAGCTCCACCGAACCCCCAGTGCGACCGTCTGGGACGCGTAAACTTAGTATTTGCACACGCCCAGTACAGCGCTTCGTAGCCCCATAGGGAGCTAGCTCCCTATGACGCCCCCAGTGGGACCGTCTGGAACGCATGAATGTGGCATGTTCACCCCGCACAGTACAGCGTTTCGTAGCCCCATAGGGAGCTCCACCGAAGCCCCCAGTGGGACCGTCCGCATGCGTCTCGGAAGCCCAATTTGGCATAAGTTTCACCCACCTAGTACAGCGTTTCGTTGCCTCATAGGGAGCTCCACCGAAACCCCCAGTGAGACCGCCCGCATGCGTCCCACACACCCAATTTGGCATTTTCATTCACCCAGTACAGAGCTTCGTGGCCCCATAGGAAGCTCCGCCGACGTCCCCAGTGAGACTGCCTGCATGCGTCCCGCACACCCAATTTGGCATTTTCACCCACCCAGTACAACGATTCGTGGCCCCATAGGGAGCTCCACCGACGGCCCCAGTGCTACCGCCCGCATGCGTTCCCCCCCACCCAGTGCAGCGCTTCGTGGCCCCATAGGGAGCTTCACCGAAGAAGATATTCACAATTGCGGTGCCCACAACTGCATATGGTTGGGTCCTTCGCCAGGATAATCTTTGCCTCCTCCAATCTGTTTGGGCGTGCCACGGGAACATGATAAGGCACAGCCAGAGCTCACCGCGAACCCTTCTGTGGCCCCTCCCCCCGAGGCGGCCCCTGGCCGTCCAAGCTTCTTCCTCTTCGGAGGCCGTCTTGCGATAGTCTCCTAACTCTCCCGGAAATGTCACTGGCACCCCGAAGGCTGCCTCCGGGCCCTCGCCTCTTGTCGCTCTCTGCTCGTCCCTGATCCCTCGCGCCTCGTCGCCTTTCCCCCGTGCGCCATGCCTCGTCCCTCCACCGCCTCCTCATCCTCATTCCTCTTCCTCCTCCTCCTCCTTACCCTTCCCCCTTGGTCCTTCCCCCTTCTCCTCCTCATCCTGCTCCTCCTTTGCCCACGCTGGCCAGACCGCGCAAAACAACCCGAACCTCAAAATGATCGGCCCACGAACCCGGAAAGGGATATGGAAATGTGAGGCACGGCAACGTTTTCAAGACACCTGATTGGGCGACGGGCAATTGCAATGCTGAGTGTATTGATCTTGGCGTACCGTTCCCAAAACTGTGCTGTGCTGTGCCGTGCTGAACTGCGATGTGCCATGCCGTGATTGTTCTCTATAGCGTTGTGAATCGAATCCTCCTTGGCATTCGGGTCCTGATTTAACTGATCTGGACCGTAAGCTCGAGCTGCCTGAGCACATAGTGGCCGCCCCAGAGGTAGTTGAAGTGGAAACGTGGAGGACGTTCAATCAACTCGACCTCAAAATCCGACTCAACTCCGAAAAGAAACGAAACGACACGGGGCACAGGCTCACGGACGCACCACAGGATGTGCCAGGGGCGCAATAGGGGATGCGCCAGGGGACGTGTCAGGGGACGTTTCAGGGGACGTGCTCGGGACGTGTCAAGGACCTGCCACGGGACGCGCCAAAGCGCGTGCCATGGGGCGGCCAGGAGGCGTCATGCCAACGGACGTTGCAAAAGCACGCCACGGAACGGGCAAGGGAACCGCCTGGGGACGAGCAAGGACACGCGACAGAGGACGAGCCCGGGAACGTGCCACGCCGAGTGGCGTGCTAGGGGACGCACCAGGGCACGTCACGCCTGAACGTCGCAAGGGACGCGCCAGGGGGCGCGCCATGGCGCCGGGGGACGCCCCACGGACGGGCGGGGTTGGACTGCGACGCGCTCTGCTGCGACAAGCGTTTCGCTCGAGACACCCTCAACAAATCCTCATGTCAGACATCCGCCTGGGCGACCTGGAGATGTGCAGCCAAGCGTCTCACTCGAAACGTTCTGCACACCTCCTCATGCTAGGCATCTGCCTGAGCGACCTGGACACGTGAAACCAAGCGTGTCGCTCAACACATCCTCAAAACATCCTGCTGCTCGACATCCGCCTGTGCGACCTGGACACGCGAAAACGAGCGGTTCGCTCGAGACATCCTCCGAACATCTTCATTTTAATCATCTGCCTGGGCGACCTGAGCACGCGAAAACGAGCGTTTCGCTCGAGACGTTCTCAACACCTCCTCATGCTAGATATCCGCCTGGGCGACCTGAGCACGCGAAAAGAAGCGTTTCGCTTGAGACTTTCTCAACACCTCCTCATGCTAGACATCTGCCTGGGCGACCTGGACACGTGAAAGCAAGCGCTACGCTCGAAGCATCCTCAATACATCTTCATGTTAGACATCCGCCAGGGCGACCTGGACACGTGAAAACAAGCGTTTCGCTCAAGACATCCTCAACAACTCTTCATGCTAGACATCCTCCTGGGCGACCTGGACACGCGAAAACGAGCGACTCTCTCTCGAGAGATCCTCAACAAATCCTCATGCTAGACATCTGCCAGGGCGACCTGGACGCGTGAAAACAAGCATCTTGCTCGAGACAACCTCAACAAATCTTGATGCTAGACATCTGCCCGGGCAACCTGGAGGCGTGAAACTAAGCGTCTTGCTCGAGACATCCTCAAGACCTGGGCACGTGAAAGCAAGCATTTCACATGAGAGATCCTCTGAATTCTGGTCCCGAGGAGAGGAACGATCTATAGCACAGCGCAACACAATCGTTTCGCTCGAGACATCCTCAACAAATTCTGCAAGACAAGCGTTTCGCTCGAGACATCCGCAACAAACGACAATGCTTACTTTACCCTGTGTATTACCAATCGGTTTTTTAAACAAAGAACAGCGTTTCGCTCGGGACATCCTCAATTTCTAATCCGCTGGCCCTCTTCGACCATGTTATCCATGAAGGAACAAAGCCGCTGGCCTTCTTCGAACTTGGCACCGGTGGCAATTTTCCAACCAAAAGAGAACCAACCTTGGGCCTCTGCCCTTTCTGGGAACATGATCGACACACGAACCCGGAAAGGAATATAACACTGTAACGCATGGCAACGTTTTCAAAGACACCTGATTGGGTGACGGGCAAATGCAATGCTGAGTGTATCGATCTTGATGTACCCTGCCGAGGGCTGTGCTGTGCTGCACCGTGCTGAATTGCGATGTGCCATGCCGCGATTGTGCTCTATGGCGTCGTGGATCGAATCCTCCTTTGCATCCGAGTCCTGACCGAACTGATCTGGATCTTAAGCTCGAGCTGCCTGAACACATAGTAGCTGCCCTGGAGCTAATTGACAGGGGAACATGCCAGGAGGACGCGCCGCGGAACGTCTCAAGGGACGCGCCAAGCAACGTGACAGGGGACGTGCCATGGGGACGCACCGCGGGACGTGCCAAGGGGACGCGCTACGGAACGTGCAAATTGATGTGCCACGGGATGTGCCAGGGAACGCGCCGCGCGATGTGCCAGGGGGACTCGCCAAGGGACGCCCCACGGAACGTGCCAAGGAACGTGCCAAGTTGCAATGCTGAGTGTATCAATCTTGATGTACGGTGCCGAAGTCTGAGCTGTGCTGCGACGTGCTGAATTGCGATGTGTCATGCCGCGATTGTGCTCTATAGCCTCCTGGATCGAGTCCTCCTTTGCATCCGAGTCCTGACCGAACTGATCGGATCTTAAGCTCGAGCTGCCTGAACACATAGTAGCTGCCCCAGAGCTAATTGACAAGGGGGCATGCCAGGAGGACGCGCCGCGGAACGTCTCAAGGGACGCGCCAAGCAACGTGCCAGGGGACGTGCCATGGGGACGCACCGCGGGACGTGCCAAGGGGACGCGCTACGGAAGGTGCTGGCGTTTCGCTCGAGACATCCTGCCCAAATCCAAGGACGTCCTGGAACAACAAACGAATTAGTCGAGACATCCTCCAAATTCCTGCGCGCGGGACGCGGCACGCGCGAGACAGCCTCGGAATTCCTGCGAGCGGGACGTGAAAACAAGCATTTCGCCTGAGACATCCTCTGAATTCTTGCCCCCCACGAGGCCCCCGCTAGAGCGTCCAATTTTGCAAAACCAGCGTTTCGTTCGAGACGTCCGCAACAAATTCAATATATATATATATATATATATATATATAGACAAGCGCTTCGCTCGAGACATCCGGTCAAAATCCAAGGACATCCTGGAAAAACAAACGAATTAGTCAAGACATCATGCAGATTCCTGCGCGCGGGACGCGGCACGCGCGAGACATTCTCGGAATTCCTGCGAGCGGGACGTGAAAACAAGCAATTCGCCGGAGACATCCTCTGAATTCTGCCCCGCCACGAGGCCCCCGCTCGAGACATCCTCCAATTTTGCAAAACCAGCGTTTCGCCCGAGACCCGAGACATCTTCAACAAATTATGAAAAACAAGCGCTTCGCTCGAGACATCCGGTCAAAATCCAAGGAAGCCGTGGAAAAACAAACGAATTAGTCAAGACATCCTCGGAATTCTTGCGCGCGGGACGCGGCACGCGCGAGACATCCTCGGAATTCCTGCGCGCGGGACATGAAAACAAACAATTCGCTTGAGACATCCTCTGAATTCTGGCCCTCCACGATGCCCCCGCCCGAGAGACATCATCCAATTTTAGGAAACCAGCGTTTCGCTCGAGACATCCTCAACAAATCATGAACAACAAGCGTTTCGCTCGAGACATCCGGTCAAAATCCAAGGAAACCCTGGGAACAACAGACGAATTAGTCGAGACATCATGCAGATTCCTGCGCGCGGGACGCGGCACGCGCGAGACATCCTCGGAATTCCTGCGCGCGGGGCGCTTTTCCTCGTCGCAGTCGGGGCTCCAGACGTTGTTTTTTCCAAAGATTCTGCAAAAAATGCCCTGCAGGTGGCGGGTCGACTTTCCTGGAGCGGGCACGCACGAAACGCATTTTTTCACGCCGAATTGGACTTTACCCCGTGTTCTATCGAGCGGAAATCGGCGGGCCCTCTTCCCGGGGGGAATCAACCTACTGAAAGATAACCCTTGGCCTGCACCCTTTCCGGGAAAAAGATTCCTCCCAGCCCTCAGGGAACCCTCCAGGAGGCCATCTGAGGAGCCAAAGCATGTAGGGCAACGGGCAACGTTCTGTTTTGAATCTTCTGTGCCCTGCCACCCTTCAGGCTTCCAGAGTGATTCCAGGACGGCCTACGGGCCGCCTCGGACACTGCCCTGGTCGTCCAGGATGCACCCCGGGAGGGCCCCTCAATGCACCCCCAGAGACGCCCGATCACGGCCCCCGACTGGTGGACAAGACGGCCTGCGCACGTCCGGCCCAGGATGGCCTCGAGGACCCCTTCAGACGAGACGGCAGCAAGATCACCCAAGACGGCCTTAAGACCCGCCCTGCCGGTCTCAAGACCCCCGATGCCGCCCCGCGAGCCCCCCCGAAGCCGACCCCCCAGGAGGCCTCGAGTGTCTTCCGGCGGGACCACCCCCGAGAGCCACCGTGACAGCCGTGTGCCGCCACCGCCGCGGCACGCGACAGCGCTGCCGCATGGCCTCCACAGGCGGCGTGGCGGATGGGCCCGCGGCAGCGAGTCTGGATGTATTGGTATGTGGGCCCGTACCAGCGGTACGGTCTGCCATCGGCCCCCCCGCTCTCCGAGTCCATCCACGTGGAGCCCGTGTCGGACACGGACTTCTGCTGGCCGTCCTCCTGCCCCAGGAAGCACCAGATGCAGGCGATCGTGTGGTTGATCCAGATCAGCAGGATCGCGAATTTGCCAAGGTTCAGAAGCGATCCTGTGAGCGCCTTCATGCGAACAGCCTGGGAAATGCTCTCCAATCGATCCAGGATGCTACCGATGTTTCGCATCCGCAACACCCCAACGAGCCGCAATACCCGCCCGACCTTGAACAAACGGACAAACGCCGCAGGATTCGTATTGGAAGACTCGGCCCCGACACGGATGATCAGAGACGAGATGTCCACCGAAAGCGTTACGATGTCCAAGAAGAAGCTTCTTCTCAAGTAACGGCAAGCGATGTTCCAAGGGTGCATGTTGAGGTGCCCGTTTTGATAATCCGCTGACCCCCGCTTGCTGGGGGTGAAAGGCGTTTGAGATGAGATTTGGCTGCCCCCTACCCCTTCACTCTTCCCCGGAGGTACAGCATCCAGTTTAAAGGGGGAGGGGGGACGGGGGGAGGGCTCGACGAGCTCGTCAACGCACCCCTGGGGCCCTTCGAACTTCCAGATTCAGACTGACACGCCTCCAAGAGGGTTCAAGAAGGGATCCAACACGATTGGTAGGCCGAAAGAACACGCAAGATGACCTTATGACGCCCCATGGTGCCCCAATAAAACCTTCGGGCCCCCTACAGGAGCTTAATAGGTGCATGCTATCTTTCCACATGTCTGTTACTGAATTTCGCGTAATTGCCTTTTCGGACTTCTGGAACATGATCGACCCACAAACCCGGAAAGGAATATAGAAATGTAAAGCATGGCAACGTTTCAAAGACACCTGATTGGGCGACGGGCAAATGCAATGCTGAATGTATCGATCTTGATGTACCGTGCCAAAGTCTGTGCTGTGCTGCGCCGTGCCGCGATTGTGCTCGATAGCGTCGTGGATCGAATCCTCCTTTGCATCCGAGTCCTGACCGAACTGATCTGGATCTCAAGCTCGAGCTGCCTGAGCACATAGTAGCTCCCCAGAGCTCATTGACAGGGGGATCTGCCAAGAGGACGCGCCGCGGAACGTCCCAAAGGGACGCGCCAAGCGACGTGCCAGGGGACGTGCCATAGGGACGCACCGCGGGACGTGCCAAGGGGACGCTCTACGGAACGTGCCAATGGACGTGCCACGGGACGTGCCAGGGGACGCGCCGCGCGTCGTGTCAGGTGGGACTCGCCACGGGACGCGCCACGGAACGTGCCAAGTTGCAATGCTGAATGTATCGACCTTGGTGAACGGTGTCGAGAGATATGCTGTGCTGCGCCGTGCTGAATTGCGATGTGCCATGCTGCGATTGTGCTCTATCATGTTGTGGATCGAGTCCTCCTTTGCATCCGAGTCCTGACCGAACTGATCTGGATCTTAAGCTCGAGCTGCCTGAGCACATAGTAGCTGCCCCAGAGCTTATTGACATGGGGACTTGCCAGGAGGACGCGCCGCGGAACGTCCCAAGGGACGCGCCAAGCGACGCGCCAGGGGACGTGCCATGGGGGCGCACCGCGGGTCTTGCCAAAGGGACGCGCTACGGAACGTGCGGGGGGCAACCGTTTCGCTCGAGACATCCTCAACACATCCTCATGTTAGACATCCGCCTGGGCGACCTGGACACATGAAAACAAGCGTCTCGCTCGACACGTTCTCAACACCTCCTCATGCTAGACATCAGCCTGGGCAACCCGGCCATGTGAAACCAGGCGTCTCGCTCGACACATCCTCAACACATCCTCATACTAGACATCCGCCTGGGCGACCTGGACACATGACAACAAGCATTTCGCTCGAGACATCCTCAACACATCCTCATGCTATACATTTGCCTGGGCGACCTGGACGCGTGAAAACAAGCGTCTTGCTCGAGACAACCTCAACAAATCTTGATGCTAGACATCTGCCTGGGCAGCCTGGACGCGTGAAACCAAGCGTCTCGCTCGAGACATCCTCAAGATCTGGGCACGTGAAAAGCAATCACTTCACCTGAGGCATCCTTTGAATTCTGGTCCCCAGGAGAAGAACAATCTTTAACAAAAAACAACCGTTTCGCTCGAGACGTCCTCAACGAATTTTGAACTATACCGCATCCGCGCTCACAAGGCCACGATTCCTTGTGAATTACGTGGCGCCCGCGCTCCCAAGGCCACGATCCCTTGTAAATAACGCGGGACCCGTGCTCCCAAGGCCGCAATCCCTTGGAATTTATATGGGATTTGCGCTCGCAAAGCCGCGAACTCTTACAAATTACCCTGGATTTGCGGTCCCAAAGCCGCACCCCCTCGTAAATTACGCAGCCCCCGCACTCCCAGGGCCACGATCCCTGGTAAATTACACTGGATCCGCGCTTCCAGGGCCCCAACCCCTTGTAAATCACAAGGGATTTTCGCTCCCAAGGCTGCGATCCCTTTTAACATATGCTGGATTCGTGCTCCCAGAACCCCTGGGCACCCTGGAGCCCAGGCCCCTAAAATTTTACAAAACGAGCGTTTCGCTCGAGACATCCCCAAAATCTCTGCGCGCAGGATGCGCCATCCTCGACCGGGCACGCAACAAATCAACATTTTCACGTTTTTTGTGTCCCGATCTGTGCTCCAAACCTCGTTATTGAGTGGGGGTTCTGCGCAAAACGCTCCGCACCCTCTCTACGAGGGAAAGCGGGGGTCTGCGGACCCTTTTCGGCAACGAGGATCGGACATGGGGGGCGCATTTTCCTCGAACGGGCAGGCGCGAAACGCATTTGTTCTATGCCGAATGGGCCTCCTTCAAGCATGGCACCATGGGAAAACAACACTACAAGAGAACCCTGGCCTTAAGCCCTTTCCGGGAAAATGCAAGACGGCCCGAGAGCCCCCCGATGCCCGGCCAAGATATCCCAAGACATCCCCAAGAGGACCCGGAGATGGCCCAAGATGCCTCCAGCACTTCTCCTAGGCTGCCCCCGAGGCGGTAGCCAAGAACCTTTAAGAGGCCCCCCTGAGAAGGAACTCGCGGGGGCCCTGGGGGCTCTCCTCCACAGGATGGCCACCAAGACCCTCTGGCCACCCTCCTCCTCCTCCTCTTCCTCCTCCTCTTCTCCTCCTCCTCCTCCTCTTCTCCTCCTCTTCCTCCTCCTCCTCATCCTCAAGACCCTTCAACATGTCCCCACGAGGTCCCCAAGAACCCCGAAGTGGGCACCCAACAACGTGCGGGAGCCTTGAAAAGCCTCCCAAAGGGCCGCCCCCGAGACCACCAAAAGGCCCCCACGAAGACTCGCAGCAAAGGCGGGGGATCAGGACGAATCAACAGCTACCAGCATGAATGACGACGGGAAGCGGCGAAGACATACCGCATCGGAAACCGCACGGATCCTCTTCTAGGGATCGGCGGAATGGGGTAAGCCTCTTGGATAACCTGTCCTGGAACTCATTATCATATCAACAAACCAGAACGCTGCTGATAAGTTTTCAAAGGTGAACCAAAGACCCACTGTGTCGTCAACTTCAAACGAGAGCAGGTATGGGATTGTAAACAAGTTGTATGCAAGCACGACTAAGCTCATAACGTCGACGCACGCCCGCACATTGCCAGCTGGAGAAAGCACGGTGTAATAGCAAAGACGGCTCCCTCTTGCCCACGCACTTCCTGACTTTAGTGCCGGTTTGGATGAGTTGCGTGAGAGCTGCGCGACCAGAGACGTAGATCGACCCACGTTACGTTTCGATCTCGTAGCTGAAGTGTGCCAGTCAAACTCCCTGACAAGCTGTTCGCTGCCACCACAATTCGCAAACTCCTCTCGGACCGCGACGGCCTCCAGCCACAGCCGGCTCCCGAGAGATGACCTGCTGCTGTCCTGCGGGTTGAGCTCTTGCAGGAAGCCCGGCGGCTTCTCTTCCACACCCTCCTGCAGACGGGCCCCAGCCACGGCCTGGCTGTGGTCGCCGTCGGCAGCGGCTGCACCTGGGCCCGGCCCGAGGCTCGCCAGCAGCTGCTCCAGCCGCCGCTGGCCGCGGAGGAGTTCGCGGACGCTCTCCAGGACCTCGTGGGCGTGCTCGCCGCCCCCGCCGCTCATGCGCGCGAGGCTGGGCTGCGTGCCCACGGGCGCGGCCCGGCGCTGGAGGCACCGTGCGGCCCCCCGGCCGCCCG